TACTCAAATATATACTCAAGAATTAATATAAACGTTGGCATATATATATATATATATATATATATATATATATATGTATATTTGATACACATATTTGAGTAGACGTATTGTTTTTTTATACTGATATTTACTAAAAGTAAATTTTGAACTGATAAAAATGTCGGATTAAAAATAAATCTGTTAATTCTTTAGAAATATGAACGAGGAAACGTGCCTTCCTCAAACAGGTTGATAGAACATTGCTGGACTCTTCATAACCGAGCCCTTTAATGCACGACGGATCAGACGGTGAATTCTCCAAAAAAGGTAGACGCAGGTTCTATCCCTCCCGCAGTAAACATTTTCTTTATTAATATTCTTGGCAAGCTCAGGCCAGTAGACGTAACAAACACTGCTTCAAAACGGGACGTCTATTAAAATATGGATATCCACTAAAATAACCCTCTATATTACATTATAAAATCTCAAATAATTCATTGTATATATTGCTAATAAATTCATCATATGCTGTTTGGTTGGTATCTATATTGTTGCTCTGAGTAGTGATTTTCTAAGCCCGGCTTAGATGTGGCACAAGGCCGAAAGTATGGGGCACCCAGCGAGGATCGAACTCACTACTCAGTCGTAATTGATCTAGTAAGACAAGCTTTCTAGCCATTACACCACGTCGAGGTGTATTGCTCTTTGAGTATATCGTGTATTTTACCTCTTTGAGTTTAGTTCGCAAACTCTTTCTCCTCTTCAAGGCATTCTTATGATTTACCTTTATGTAGACACTAGATCAGAGAACAAGATGAAATGAAAGCCGATCAACTCAAAATGGGAGGAATGGACGTCAAATCAAAGGCTCTTAAACAGGAATAAAAATGGCAACGTCCAAATGCTATTCATGTCGATCGGGACAAATAGCTTTGACCGTTCAAGAAGATTTATTGTGCCTGGCTGTATCTTCATTTAAGTCAAAGCGCCACAGGCATTGTCTTATGTTCCTGATACATAATTTGTACCAGAAAAAAAGAAAGAACGTTAACCGTAGCCAGGTGATTTCCATGGATCGTATACCAGAAGAAGGCTGTAGATGTGACTAGCAAAAAAAATCAGTAGAAATAACAAAAAACGAGATCATTAGTTCAAAGAACGCTTGCAATGGTAGTGACGAATAGCAAAATTTGCATAGGTTTTGGCATTAATTTCATTTACAGTTTTCTTTTAAGTTTTATTTAGAAACTCTAAGTTGACATGCAATAGACAAGCTAGTTACATCGTGATTATTTCCAGTTGTATTGCACAGAGATACATAGGGTTGGTTTGTTTTACGGCATATCAACCTTTCAAGTTTATTTAAGGTTGGATTCTGGATGAGAGTCAAAAAAGTAAACTAAGGTCAATGGTAGAGGCAGGTTTGGTTTTAATCAAAAAGGTAGACATTGGTTTGGTTTTAACGGAATGAAATAGAGATAGGTTTCGTTTTCACGATAGTCAAAAATGTAGACAGTTTTGGTTTTAACGGAATCAAAATGGTAGACATAGTTTTGGTTTTAACCGAATCAAAAACGTAGATATAGGTTTGATGTTAACCGAATCAAAAAGATAGACAGGGTTTGGTTTTAACAGACTCGAAAAGCGAGACATAGGTTTGGTTTTACCGGAATCAAAAAGGTAGACACAGGTTTGGATTTAATGTAATCAGAAAGGTATGCATAAGATTGATTATAATGAAACCAAAAAGGAGACATAGGTTAGGTTTTAAAGGAATAAAAAAGGTAGACATAGTTTTCATTTCACGAGAGTCGAAAAGTTTCGTAGAGGTTTAGTTTTAACGGTATCTAAAAATAGCCTTTGTTTTTTAACGGAATCTAAAAGGTAGACAGAGGTTTGGTTTCAACGGAATCAAAAATGTAGAGATATGTTTTGGTTTAACGGAGGAAAAAGATACACATAAATAAAGGTTTCAACGGAATCGAAAAGGTAGACAAGTTTTCGTTTTAACAGAATCAAAAAGGTAGACATAGGTTTGGTTTTAACGGAATGAAATAGATAGACATAGGTTTCGTTTCCACGACAGTCGAAAAGGTTGACAGAGGTTTCGTTTTAACGGAATAAAAAAGGTAGTCATAGTTTTAGTTATAACGGAATGAAAAAGTAAACATAGGTTTGGTTTTAACGGAATCAAAATAGTAGACATAGGTTTCGTTTTCGCGACAGTCATAAAGGTAGTCATAGGTTTGGTCTTAACGGAATCTAAAAGGTAGACATAGGTTTAGTTTTAATAGAATCAGGAAGCTAGGCATATCATTAATTTTAACGGAATCAAATAAGTTTGATTTTAACGGAATCAAATGGTAGACATAGGCTTGGTTTTCATGTCATTCAAAATGGCAGACATAAATTTTGCTTGTTAGGGGAGAGAAAAAGGTATAGACAGGAATGGTTTGAACTAAATTAAAAAAAATAAAATATTGGCGCAGTAAACATTTGACTCATTTGGAAAATTTATAACTCTACATGGGGATACAGTTCGTGTATTCATGACCCCAATCATCAGGGCGAGTCCAGCTTGGTAAGTTTGAAGAATAGATTATAAGAAAACACTTTGCTAACAACATGAAAAAAAAAAACCTAAATAAATAAGATCGACAGTGTAAACAACTCTTGAGATAATAATTTTCGTTAGCCCTAGATATTTGGAGTATAACGTCGCATCCGCCACCCGCCTGGTGTTTCCTGTTGTTGTTTCCGTATAGGGCAGGATTTTACGGGGAAGATCAGCTAGCTCCACATCCTATCAGATTCAGATTGAACTTCTCCTAAGCTGGCTTCTAGCCAAGCCTCTGTTATTAAGTAGCTGGAGGAAGAAGTGATGAATTTATACTTTTCCAACAGTATTCGTGCAAAAGTGAATGCAATCGCTTTGACTGGAATTTGGATTTGACATGCTATTCTCACTCAGCACCGGTAACCGCAATGCTATCTACGCGAACATCCTGTAATAATAATGGCTAATCTGAAAAATTACAGAGTATATCTTCTATAGGTATTATAATCCCGAAGAGGGCCGAGCAATGAATCGGCTGAAACTTTTTGTATCAACAAAAACAATCGATAAAATCAGTATGATGAAGAATGTTTGCAATCAAGGCTCCATCCTAGGCCCCACTCTATTCCTTATCTACATAAATGACCTTCCTGATGCCATAAATTCCCAAGTTGGCATCTACGCGGATGACACCACAATTTACTCCTGCCTCAAAAACAAATCTAGTGTCGGTGACAAAACTAACCTGGCCGTGAGTCTTGAAATGGACCTCTAATCGGTTGTTAATTGGGGCAAGAATTGGCTGGTCAACTTTAATGCCTCAGAAACAAAACTGCTCTCTATTAATCACCACAGAGATCCTTCCCTGCCCTCCATTAGAATGTCTGACGCTCAACTTCTCGAGAGCATCACTCTGCGGCTGCTCGGTCTCACGTTGACTGCTGACCTTAGATGGAACAAATACATTGAGTCAATTGCTTCGTCCACCGCATGGAAAGTTGGCTCCCTGTGCTGCGCCAGGAGATTTTTCTCCCCGGAATCGATCCTTCAGATCTACAAATCAACAATTCGCCCTTGTATGGAGTATTGCTGCCATATATGGTCTGGTGCCCCTTCTGTTTGCCTCGGGGTTCTCGATAGGCTCCAGAGGCGGATATGCAATATAATTGGCCCTGATCTGGCATCTCGTCTACAGTCACTTTCTCACAGACGTGCCGTCGCCTCTCTTTGTTTTTTTTACAAATACTTTCATGGTAATTGCTCCAAGGAGCTGCATTCGCTGGTTCCCAGACTTCATGAGTTCAAGCGCCCTACGAGGCTGGCATCCCGCTCTCACCCTTTCACTGTCGAAACTATTAAATGTAGCCGCCTCTTCTACTCCAATAGCTTCATGTCCCGCACCTCTCGTCTGTGGAACTCCCTTTCCTAGTCCAGTTTCCTTGATAGCTATAATCTCCAACTATTCAAATGTAATGTCAATCGACATCTCCAATTGGCCTTGATCTATTCACTATCCTTCTCCTCATCCTTTCCTCTATCACTCCTATCTGATCTTGCTCCAAATCTTCTGTAACCCCTTGCGTCCTAGTGGCTTCCCGCCTTGCTTGAGGTGAAAAGCTTAAAAAAAAATAATAATGAGTTATTGCGAAATTACGGTCGGCATTTTCCATACGTCGTATATACCAGAAGAAGGCAGAAGAAGGAATCAGTTGAAGCATTGTGGCATAAAAAAGAGCAAATAGACTGAGAACAAGTATGAAAAATTGATTTTCTCATCACAAAAGAACATTTCATACGGATGGAACATCCGAGAAAGGCGGATAAAGGGACTATTTGAAACGTTGTGGTATTAACAAAAGAAGGAAAAATAATGCGACCAATGGTCTGAAAAACTATTGGAATGATAAGGCTTTTATCTTAAAATTAAACATATTTTCCTTTACAGCCATCTTGTCTGCTTCAATAATAAAGGGTTCGGGATACAAAGAGATGTTCGATCATTTTTGTTTTTTGAACATCTTTTTCGCAGCCTTTCTTCGCCTTTTATACAAGTAAAATATATTAGAAAAATATGAAAAAAACAGAAAGATTGTTGCAAGAAATGGAAGTGTAACGTAACAAAACTGGAAGAATATGAATCTTGTAGCTTAGAAGAATCTACGCGGGGAATTTCTTGTCTGATCAGACAATCGTAGCTGGCGAATGAAAAAAAAAACGGAGGAAGAAACAAAGGAGAAAGAAATTGAAAAAAAAAAAGATTTTAGAATTTTTGGAAAAAGCGTAAAGTAAAACCCTTTTTGCTAATGTCGCCGTTATATTGCATTGTTACCGACATGATTAGCTAACATCAATAGCACAATGGGTTTAGGAAAATAAGAATGGAGGGTGAGATATAAAGAAACGGTGAACGAAGAAGAAGAAGAAGAAGAAGAAGAAGAAGAAGAAGAAGAAGAAGAAAGTAATATTAGGACGTAAGAGAAATAAAGAAACGGTAAATAAGAGAAAGGGATAACGTGATATAAATTAAGAAAGGAGTGATGGAAAAAAGGAAAAGTAAAGCAAAGTGAGAGATAGAGGCAAAGAGAAAGAGTGTGAGGGAGATAGTGAAATTGAGAGAAAAGAAAATTAAGGAAAAAGAGATATATAGATACGAACAAATAGTGGAAAGAGAAATTAAGAAAGAGAAAAGAAAAGAAAGTGACGTAGATAAATGGAGAAGAAAAGAGAGATCAGTGAAAGAGAAAAAGAGTGAGATATTAAGAAAGAGACCAGAGAAATAATGTGAAATGGAAAGAGAGATTACAAAAGAGAAACTATTTCGTTTTTCAATCAATTCACTTAAAGCAAAATAATGATGCCACTAAAATTCAAGGGGCTACTGAGAGTGAAAGGGAAGTCTTTAGAAGGGACCAGAAACTCAATCGTAAAGAAGAAACAAGGGATAAATCTTTACTCCTGTTCAAAAGACCTGTAAGTATAAAAAGGGAATGGAGAGAGAGAGAGAGAGGAGGAGAGGAAGGGGGGAGAGGGGGAGGAAGAGGGGGACAGGGAGAGGAAGGGGGACAGGGAGAGGAAGAGAGAGCAAAATAGGATAAAAGAGACAGTGACAGAGGGAAAGAGAAATTGAGAAAGAACTGAAAAAAGAAAGAGAGAGAGAAAGAAAGAAAGAAAGAAAGAAAGAAAGAAAGAAAGAAAGAAAGAAAGAAAGGAATAGAGCGATAAAGATTAATAATATAAGAACAAGAAATGACGAAAGAGAAAAAGGAGAGAGTGATTAAGAAAAAGGCAAGAAAATAGTAAAATAGAGAAAGGGAAACAGAGATAGATAGATAGATAGATAGATAGATAGATAGATAGATAATGAACAGACTTAGATAGATAGATAGATAGATAGATAGATAGATAGAGAGAGAGAGAGAGAGAGAGAGAGAGTAATGATGTTTATTCGAACTATCTGCAAGATCAACCAATATTGTAATAGGTACAAATGAATACAAACAGAGCAACATAGCGGTTATCGATGAATGACGTGGAGCAGAGAAGTGAATTCATACCTCTTGTATACATCCCATCCATTTATAAAATCAACTTCTTCATTTATGTGCTGTGTTTCTTTCTGTACGTAAGCGACCATGGACCTCCACATCTTTCTATTCTTTGTAGCTCTTAATAAATTTTGTCTTTTTGTTATTTCCCCTAAACCCTGTTCTACCATCCATTTGCTCAAGACCATCAAGTATGTTACGTGCTTCATTCCTCTGCCCCTCTTTCCCTCAATCTGTCCTGTGAGTATCAGATTTTCCAAACCCTCCTTCCTCATTACGTGCGCCAGAAATTTCCACACTTCCGGATGATAAGTATAAGTTTCCTTTTTGTTTCCATTTTCTCCAAAACCTCGTCGTTGCTCAAATGTTCGGTCCATGGTATCCTCAGCATCTTTCTGTAGAATCCCCATTCCTGTTGCTTGAAGTCTCTTCTTTATCTTTAAGGAGATATTCCAGCATTCGCTGTCATACAGAAAGAGAGATATCACGTAGCAGCTCGGTGCCCTTTTCTTTGTTTTTAATAATTTTTTTCTGTCTCTTTATACTCTGCTTAGCTTTTTGAATGCATCTTTGGCCATCCGTATACGTCTTCGGATCTCAGTGTCGCACTTTCCGACCTCTATTAGAACGCTTCCGAGATATTTCAAATTTTGTACTTTTTAGTATCCCTGATTTGTAATTTGCACGCTCGGCTCGTCCTTTTGCTGATGGTCCTCACCACCACCTCCCTGCATATTTGTGTTGACAACTCGGGTTTATGGCCTTATGGGATCTGCGCTATTGACGATGCGTACCGGATGTATATGCTCCTCAGAAATATTTTCTGTATATATTAATGAAATTGCTTCGGTTTACGCCATTTTTTCGAACGCAGTTGAAACCATACTAATTTACGCTTTTCGTATAAGCGAAGTGGTTTAAATCGAACATTCGAAAAGTATTTTCTTTAGCATATTTCTTTTAGCAATGGCTGAACGGAAATAGTGACAACAATGATGACTAGATTAGAAATTAGTGGCCGTTAATAAAAGATCAACTAACGAGCAGAACCGTTCATTCGAGGTTTTGGGATTCGGTTTTTAACCCGACATGAAAAATCGAAAATAACTTAAGGCATAAATATTGTGCCAGAGAAGATAAATGTCACTTCGTGTGCAAAAATAGTAGTACATGGTTCTTCATTATCGCATTGTCTAATTACGATTACGGGCGAATTTAGTACATATCTGAAGGAAAAATATTACCAGAAATAGATTTTTTGAAGGAAAAAATATTACCAGAAATAGGTTTTTGAAAAAAACTTTTTACCGACAATAAAAAATTTTGTCGGCATTAAATAACCCATTTAGGTTGATATGCCGTAAAACAAAACAAAACAAACCAAACCAAAGTAATGCTGTCTATTTCAGAATATCACGCACGATTTTCATTCTGCCATGCTCCAGCACATTATTATTATTATTATTATTATTATTATTATTATTATTCCCTTTGATTACCAAGTCTGCGGAAAGACCTAAAGGCAGGTCGTGGTGTGGTGTATACACAAATTATTTCCGGGTTTCGACCAGAGACCTAAGGTTAATAAGACAATTTTCTGAAAGGGCGCCATGACATTTTGTTTTGAACATTTTTAAAATTATGCACCACCACATATTTTACATTTTTTTCTAAATAAAGTTGTGGTCTGTATTTGTGAGTACAATTTTTTGCATTTTTTAAGCCATGGGCTACCAGGGATTTTTCAATGAGTCTACTGGAATCTATTCCAAACAATTCCTTTGAGGGTTCTTATTACAATTAGAATTGTTAATGACTTCATGCGTCACATTTTTGAGATATCGATTTCAAGGTTTTTGTATATTGATAATCAATTTTTTTTGAGGATCTTCAAATCTGAGGGTACTGCCATGTCAATTTGTAGGCACATTTTTTGTCTTTGCGGACTTTAATCACGTTGTCTCGGCGATTAGTTTTGATTGTTCTGTCCTGGGAGTATTGTAAAATCCCATATTATTATTATTATTATTATTATTATTTCCTTCGATTTTGGTTGTATAACACTCATTTCATTCCGGGTCCAATTTGTGATGTAGGGTCAGAAATGGCTTCATGAGATTTTCAACTACTGAAGATCATACCCATTTTATATGGATAAAGATCTTCATAATGAGTTAGCTGTCCTTGTGTGTTCATTTTAAAAATATTTCTTTAAGACATGGACTGCCAGGAATCTTTTCAATGAACCTTTTGTAATGAAACCGATGGCCCCAATCAGAACTGTAATTATCGATGTCTTCATGTGCATCATTTTTGAGATTTCAACTTCGAGATCCTTCATTGTTCCTTATTTATTTACAGTATGCGTTACATCCTGGTACAATAATGGACTATTCCATTTTGATTGCAAGGAGAAGCGGAAGAAAAAGATATATGAGAAACTGCCTTTGGTTTTAGTGAGGAAAAAATAAGAAAGAAATAAAGAAAGAAAGAAAGAAAGAAAGAAAGAAAGAAAGAAAAAAAAAGAAATGAAAAAAGAAAAGGAAGAAGGGGCGAAAATGCTATCTTGTGTTTAATGTCTGCTTCAGCGAAATGGAAAGCTTGTCAATGTTGGATCTTTTCATTTGAACCCTCCTACTTCTTTTAAATAATGACCTTCACTCATATTCATGATTGTTATTCTAGTATTTTGGTAAATTTGTTAAGCTCAAATATTAAATGAGGCAATATGGTAATTTCTATGTGTATTTTATAGTCTTTGAACTTGCAAGGACCTTATTCAATGATTATCCTAATAATAAAGATTTATTAGAAAATTCATATAATAACAGTGTGAAATTTTCTTTGTCACAATTCGTCGTTATTTTTATCACTATTATTATTATTGTTTGTGTGTTATGTTTTTTCTTTGTATAATGTAGAGCCGGGTATAACTATGGTCCTTAAACCCTGTGAGAGAATTGTCATTTAATTAACAGCATTTTTCTTAGTATATAAGGTGTTCCTAGTAGGGCGATCTTCTGGGCAACTTGTATGTGAATGTTACCTGGGTCACTGTTAGTAAAATTGTCCATTCCTTTTTACACGAGGCCCAGGGCGCCGATTACTATTAGTACAGTCTCAGTCTTCATTCCCCACATTCTGTTAATCTCGATCTCCAGGTCCTTGTATTTGGACAATTACTCGATAATTTTCATGGAGGGGTTTCTCTCAAATGGTACAGATATGTTAATAAGCATACACTTCCTGAAATTCTTGTCTTTTATGATATCAAGTCTGTTGGCTTTTATTTCCCTGTCAGTTTGAATTGGCATGTCCCAAAAAATAGTTGCATCGTTATTTTAGGTAACTGCGTCTCAGTTGTTTCGATTTTGTGCTTCTTGCATATCTTCCAGTTCACATATCTCACTACCTTGTTATGTCTCTGGGTATATCCATTTTTTGCCAGTTCCGGACATCCGGGGATAATATGGTCGACAGTTTCATCATAATTTCTGCAGATCCTGCATTTCGGGTTAGTTCCATCCTTGATTATGTGACAGTGATAGGATCTGGTTGCAAAACATTGGTTCTGAGCTGCAATAATTAGACTTTCTGTCTCAGCTTTCAGATCGGTGGTACCGCTCAGCCACTGATGTGATTCCTGCTGATCCACATCTGCTTCTTTTGTTCTTTTTATGTATGTTGTGGGGATCTCCCCCTTTTTACATAAGATGGACACGCCCAAAGTATACTTATACTGACAGAGAGAATACCTGCTATTGAGATAGGTTGAGAGATACGAAAACAGACACAGGGTGTTTAGAGAGAGAGAGAGAGAGAGAGAGAGAGAGAGAGAGAGAGAGAGAGAGAGAGAGCAATTTATTGTTTATTTATTTGTGCAGGATTCCATTCCCGGAATCCACAACAATGTATTTGCCATGCAACGCCTTGCCCTCCCAGTTTGGTTGTAATTTCATTTGGCTATATTTTTTCTGCTTTATTGGTTTGATGTAGATGGTATTCACTTCGATTTTTGTTGGTAGGATTTCAGGTATATTAAATTATTTCTATAAGAGTGCCGCTTCTTTGTTGATTGAGTGGATTTGTTCTTTTACTATTTTTCGGAGAAGGTCATTGGTTTTTACGAGTAGGCTTCCAATCCGATTGTTGTAGCTTTTAGAGTTTATTCAAGTTGGATTATTTTGTGATGTCAACGAACATTCGTTACCACTTTTGTATTTGCTAACGAATACACGTTGTCACTTTCGTAACACTCTTTGTAGTAGAGACTTTGCAATCGCAGATACAACTATAGTAATGCCATTGAATAATACTGGTGTCAGACGCCTTTGAATAATCTCGCACTAATAGTATTTGCTCGATAATACTCGCTCGAATAGTAACCACCGAATAGTAACCCGTATAGTGATCCGAATAGAGAAATAGTATAGTGAATAGAGTAGAGTATAGCGGTCCGTATAGTAATATAGGATAGAATAGAAGCGCAGATCAATCAGACACACGCTACCTCCTCTATGTGTGTTTCCTCTATGGTCACGTGATCCACTTAATTCAATAATGGGATCGCCTGTGTTTGCTCACTGGCGATCTATGTTCAAACTCAAGTGTCGGCAGTGACACTTTATTCCTATATAACCGATTAGAAATCAACCTCCTAAAGCTTTTGGTACATACAGCCTATCAACATCTGATTTCAGACGGTGCATCCTTATTTGGTATGCATTTTGCTGGTCTTGGCGTCCAATATTTTAATATCATCATGTTATTATTAACATATTGTCATAATGTGATATTATTGTCATAATGTCATATTATAATATTGTCATAATGTTATTATTATTATTATTGTATGCGTTAATATTTTGTAATCATTGAGATAGTCGTAATATGCTTTGATCTTTTTAAAAACTTTGATACATTCATCATTATATAACTTATAGTTCGGGTCAGCATATTCATCT